AGGAGTCTGACTGTTGCACTTTTTTAAATGATTATTTTACGCGCCCATTTATTACTGAATTATCGCAACATGCTGAAGCACGAAGGAGATAACTAATTCGAGGTCTTAAAACGTATTGTATAATTAATAACAGAACTATGTGTCTTAAAACAGTCTCTGCGTCTAAGCACTACGCGAAATCAATTTAAGGGTTAACGGGCGCTTTAAAACAGATTTTAAACTATTGCCACAAAAATATTTTAATAATACAAAGCGTAATATGTTTGCCGATTTTAAAGCCATAATAAACAACTTCCATATCCCAATCACAGACGGCCAATACGCAAACACTTTTCTACAAAGAATTTCAAAAAAAAAAAAATAGAAACACTGAACGTGTTATACAATAATGATGAAGCAAAAAAAACTAGAAGAGCTGACTTTCAAAGACTGGAAGTAAATGATGAGCATTTCCCAAGATTGAGGGATCAGAATATAATATTCCTACTGCAGCGAGCACCTAAACAATGGTTTATATCCAGTTGAAACAAAGAAACTGCATTGGACGACATCATTTAATATGGAGTTCACGAAGATGCAAGGTTTTTGCGTGCACGTTTACAGTCCCGACAAAGGCAAAATATAACTTTTGCTTTATTGTATAAGGGCGCCCACATATAGAATTTCGATTCGGGATTCCGAACGCAGCGAGTCCATATAAAATCATTGCCCGTCACACACCTACGGTATTTTTCTGTTCGAAATTTTGCGCACAAAACGTAATTCCGTTATGTGTGTGGCCGACCCGTTCGTTCCGTTTCGGAATTCCGAAACGCAATCTCGAAACGGAATTCCGTATGTATGTGGCCGGCCTAACGCGGCCACATTATCTCTGCCTTCGATCAATTTTAACCCTACAGTGCATGATTTTTTTTTCGGCTTAAAAAATGTATATTACCTAGAAAATATAATACTATAGCTCGGAAAAATATTTTAAAAAATCGCAACTCCATAGAAACATACTTATGTAATTTTTTCGTATGGCCCACATATGGCACATCGTGCAGTATAATGTAAATCCGTAGTAATGTTTTAGGAATAGTTATGAATGAAATAAACTCATAGTAATCAAACTTTATTCATGAAAATTATGTTTTATAACAACTAATTTAACCATAGGTTACTTAGCCTTACAATCAAAGTATTTGTACTTATATGTAATTATAAAACTAGGAACTTTTTGTGAAAAATAGAATAAAATATAGAACAAAAACAACAATTTCGAAACTATTTGTGGAATGACAAAAAACAGTTCTTGTCCTTGTTGAGACAGAGTGCCTGGTTACATTTCTGGCAAATTACAAAAGATTTCCCCTTACAAGCAGGTAACTTACATCGCTTCCTAATGTTAGACCAAATAGGAAAGTGTTCCATTCCATCGGTCCTGACATCTTTTGGTGGTACATTGAGTTTTGGCTTCCTTTTGATTCTTTCATCAAGCATGTCAGATACAAATGAGGAGGGTCTTCCTCTCTTCTTTATTATTGATGGTCCACACCAACACAATGCTTTGGCCACATCCAGTCGGAATTCTCGTAACTTCATCATTTTTGTGTTTTCCCTCTGTGTCTCTACTCTTTTATATAAAAGCCAGCTATTTATCAGCATCACATCTAGCAAATGATAGAATATTCTCATGTACCACTTTCTTGTACGCATTTTTATTTTGTGTTTTCCTACGAAAGAGTCAAGGAGATCTACTCCGCCCATATGCCGATTGTAATGTCCAATAATATTTGGGGCATTGACTTCTGTGTATTGTTTATGTTTCTTACAGAAACGTTTTACTTTATATTCAGGTTGTTCACCGATAAAAGAAGATGCGAGAACAACAGATTTGCTGTCTAGCCACAGCACTGCTGAGACTGGTACTGCATCAACAGTAGCCACCCATCCTTCTGAATAGCCGCGCGGCCTTTTAGCGGCCGTCAATTCTTTTTGAGATGGCATTTTCAAAGTCATCCCCATACGACCCTTGTTCACGGTGCCTAATGTATGAATGCCTTTTTTAGCACCAACAACTTGTATCCCCACTTATGAGGTTTGTTCGGGAGATACTGGCTGAGGAAGTTGCAGGCTTTGGTAGCGCACATTTGCTCAAATACCGAAAGTGTCTCTCGTTTCAGCACAGCTTGACATTTCTAATACTTCTAATACTTTCTAATACGGAAAAGTCTGTCGTGTCCTGGCTCTCCTCTAGGTTTGTAATTTATGTTGTCATTGAAATGTATGACACTTCGTAATTTTTCAAAGTTACCGAGTGTCATCATTTCAATTATAAGTGGTATACCTAATATAGTATTCCACAACATGCGAATGTTTGGCTGTGGCACCAGTCCTAACAAGAGACAGATGCCTAAATATTTTTTGAGTTCCGTCTTTGTAACCAAAACTGGCTTTGAGCAATCCTTCTGTATGCTGTATTTAGTAGATTCTTCAGTAATGTGATCCAACAAATCGTCGTCAAAAAAGTGCAAAAAGTACTGCAAAGATGTTTCAAATGTAGTATATGGTTGTTCCAACACGTCAACGCCAGTAAATGTGGTATCAGGTGGCTGAAAATCCATCTTCCGCCATATGTATTCTCTCTTAGGTTTTGGCCTGGCAGGCCTGACAGGCTGTGGGGAAGGTGAAATGATGCGGGGAGTAGGTACTGCTTGAGGTTGTGATGCTACTCGGCTGGATCTAGGATTTACTTGCCTGGAAGTACTAGGTTGTGATGCAACGTTGGCTATGTTAGAAGAACTGCTTGTTGGCTGAATCACTAACATACTATTGCTTGACCTTGGACTAGGTATGCTCACGTTCTCTATCGAAGAAATCATCCTGTAGTACTTCAGGGCACGTCTCCATTTCGTTAAACATCAAATCCTGGATTCTGATCAAGTCGCTGTCCTCATCAGACAGTTCCAGGTCATCTTCACTAACGGAAGGAATTTCGAGAAACTGTTGAATATCATCAGAATTCAAATTTTTCCTTCGGCTCATCTAGAAACAATACAAATATTTTGAAGACACTTATTGCATCGTGTGCCACATCTGTCACATACAAAAATGTCGTATTTCTATGCACTATTTATTTATGAAATTACAAATAACTAAAAAAAATAACAAATAGATACATAAACTTACCTCTACAAATTATTTCGTATACAAACTATTCAAATTTATCAGTTTTTTTGTTTTTTTCTTGCGCCACCTGTCGATCACTTTCAAAATACCGTTGGTTTTGAACAAAATGTAAACAAACATTCATTCAGAGACATCTAATCAAAAAATTTAGTACTAAATTTGATTGACCATTCATTTATAGTTAGTTTACTTTTGACTAGATGACGCTACTTATTTCGAGTACGAAAATATAGAGGTTTTTTAGGTATGTGCCACATGTGTCCCACTATGCGCTGTAGGGATATACCTGCACCCAATGATATTATAACCTTTTTACTTATATCATTGCCTGCACCTCGCTGAACTGCGATGCCCCTCTCTCGCCCCCTTCACCACATTGCGCTCGCAACGATCGCATATGGCTACGGTTAGCATCTTGTTTATAGTGATAATGACTATAGTATATTACTAGGCATTATCACTATATATAGTTGGTAATTAATAATTGCATTTTTATTATCATCATCACTGTCACTTATGTCGCTAAATAAATAATTTAGTAAACAAAAACCATAAATAGGATCTTGTATTATTTATAAGTATTCATTTATTAATTAATAAATATAAATTCACAAAATCCTTCAATCTAAACCTCATACACATACAACATTTAATAAAACCCTGTGGTTCCCGTTATCAGAATCACTATTCAAGCATATAAAAATAATTTTATTTCTCAAAAAAAAAACAAACATTTGAAAAAATGAATTTTAATTAAAAAAATTAATGTGCAAATTATGTGTGGTTTTATTATCTCTGCATTGGCCGAGGAGTAAGAGGATTGTCAGACCCCGCATTACCGATACACTTGTGAGTTAGAGGAAATAAAACCACATGAAATTAGCAAATTATTATTTTATAATTACATTAAAAAAAATTGTGTTCGAGTTTTCTAAAAAAAAATATTTTTATATGTTTGAATACTGATCCTGATAACGCAGTTAACGGGAACCATAGGGTTTTTGTTACATGTATATCCAGCACTAGGGTAAAAAATAATGATATTTCTAGAGAAGCTAGAGATTGAATCTGACGTCATCAAGCGAAGTGCATAGAAACAGGCCGCCGTATGGTTGGTTCCTGTGCGCATATTGTATGGTATTTAGTGTATGCTAGACACGAAGGTTTTACTAAACCAGCATTGTTTTGAAACAGTATCATTCTAAATAATGATGCTGTTTGAAAAAATTGCTGGTTATTGTAAAATAAATACAATAAATGACTAAACCCACATCGAATTTATTTACCAAGATAGTAGACATAATAATATATTTATTAATAATTATAATAATGAATAATAATACCTACTACTTATGTTAAAATAGGAAATTGTCTCAGAGTTGAAATATATAGAAAAACTTGACAATAAACACATTAAAAATAATACCTTTCAATGGAGGATCCCTCCGATCAGACAACAAATTGGGACTAGCGCAATGGTTATTCTTATTATCACAAATAGTCCTTTCCAACGATATACCTATCATGTTAATCTCAATTGGAGCCGGGACCAGGTTCCATACATAGGTAAGTACCCATCACCATCATCATCCTCTCACGCTTTGGACTTTGTATAGAATGAATATTTGTTTGTTTTTACATGGTTTTTGGTAATAAGTAATAACGTACGTAAAGTAGTAGTAGTAGTAGTTTCATTTTCAGTTACTTCTACTTTATTTCATACGTGAACTTTACAGTTCCCACTATTTGAAATTAATAAATTGAATATAAATTGTTACGAGACGAAATATAAGCAAATAAATTTTAAAAACTGTGTAATTACTACTTACGTTTTATAAAAAACTAACAGCAAACTTTTTTATGGTATCCTCTTGCACACACGCCCTAAAGGTATTAGTGTTCTGTGCACACGCCGACCATAGATAAATAAATATGTAGTGTACGATATATTACTTTCCTCTATGATATGTAGCAAGCTAACGCCGACTCGACTCTCAGTACATTAGTACTCTTACATAGATAAATAAATATGTAGCAAGCTAGTACTCTTATTAGTTTGTGACTCTCAGTATACATATTAGAAAGTATTTTTTTTTAATATGGCAACCTAACAATTACTGCCAACCTCCAGTCAATAAAAATACTTGTAACTTGAAACGAAACGACGGACAATCTAAAGAGAAACTACGATTCTGATTAAAAACCAAAATCATAATGTTAAGAACCATAGAATACTACAATAATGAATCATGAAATGACTTGTACTGAAGAATATTAAATAAATGATGGATATTAGGTTGAATTAAAATAATACTAAACTCAATACCACATTAAAAATAATAAGTATTACTAAATAAAGACGATTGATAGCTAAATAATGAATAAAATTTTATAATCTAATATTATTTAAACCTAAAAATTCCATAAGACAATTGAAAACATTTTTACTTTTTTTTAGAAAAAATTAAAAGAGAACAAATTTCTGTAGGAAGAGGAATTTTAAGATTTACCAAAGTGTTAAATAATGAAGTATGATCATATAACGGACACGAGAAGAAAATATGGTTGAGGTCACCAATATCCAAACCACATTCACATATTGAAGAATTTTTAATATGAAGCCTAGCAAGGTGAACCGAATTACAGCAGTGACCCAAGCGCATTCTACATAACATTGATGTATGTTTCTTATTTAAGGATAATTTATAAAACCAAGGCTTAGAAGGAATGATGGGTTGAATTTTGGCATAGTGACAGCCTTTTGTCGTTTTGGTTTTGTTCCAATGTTTTGACCATCTATCTCTATATACTAATTTCGTAGTTCTTATAAGGTCATAGCAATAATTTTTAAATAAGAAAGTATCCCCACAGACTATAGCTTGTTTAGCAAGTTTGTCAGCATATTCATTACCAGATATCTCAATGTGACTCGGAATCCAAACGAGAGAAATGTTGATGTTTTGGAATTGGTATAAGAATAGAAGTTTCTTAATTTCAAATATCAAAGGATTGCGGGAAATGTCATAGAAAGGGTTACATAACAATGCTTGTAAAGAACTAAGAGAATCTGAAAATATCACGCTTGATTTTAATTTAAAAAAGGTAACAATATTTTATTGATTGTAAAATGGCTAACATTTCTCCAGTAAAAACTGAAGATTCGGGAGGACTTTTCATTTTTTGAACTATTCTCCAATTTTGATGGTATATTGCATATCCAGTACAACCTTTTGAGTTAATCTTAGAAGCATCTGTAAAAATATAATGACACTCTGGAAAATTCTTGTCCAACGTAAATACAAATCTTTTATTTGATTCAATAGAAAATTTATTTAATCCTATATCTAATATAACATTGGGTTTGAAAAGTGCAACTTCAAACGAATTGGAGAAAAGAGGCAGAGTCGCCGACCTATAAATAGGATCTAGTAAGGAATTATAATGTTCATAGCTTTTAACTAGGTTAGGAGTTTCTTTATTACGCCAGTATTTTCCTAAATTAATTGAAATGTACTGAGAAAGCAAACGTATTTTAGGGAGTAATGGATGGTTTGAAAATTGAAGAACCCGATAAAAAAAGGAATCCGATAAATATTGTCGTCTAATAAAAAGTGGAGGATCACCGCATTCAATCTGCAAGGCATTGATAGGCGACGAATTCATAGCGCCTATAATTAATCTTAAAGACTTGTGTTGAATGATATCTAATATTTTTAATCCTTTTTTACTAGTTGGTTCAAGAAGAAATGAGGCATAATCTAATCGGCTTCTTATAATTGCATTATAAATTAATTTTAAATAATATGGATGAGCGCCCCACCATACCCCGCACAAAGCTCTAAGAATGTTTATATTTTTTTTCGCATTTTTTTTTTGGTATAAATTATATGAGGCATGCCGGATAATTTATTATCAAGAATTACACCAAGGAATTTAACTTGTTGAATATTTACGAGCGGATAATCAAAAAAGGCGAACTTGGATTTCAGGTAAAACTCTTTTGCGCGAAAAAAATTACTGTATTACTTTTATTTGGGGAAAGTTCTAGCCCATGATCATCTAACCAAGAGGCCATAGAGAGGAGATCTTGTTCTATCGCATTAGCACAAGATTCTATACATTTATCATTAACATAAACTAAGATATCATCAGCATATTGCAAAATTCTACACTTTGAAATAGACTGGTCCAAATCTGACGTATAAATATTGTATAATAAAGGACTTAAAACAGAGCCTTGTGGAAGGCCTTTGAAAACCTTTCGAGTATATTTTAGATCATCATCAATTTTAATATGTATATATCGATCTAGAAATAAATTGATAATCAAATTTGTAAGTTTTTTGGATATATTAAGCTTAAACATCTTTTCTCTAAGGATGTTGAGTCTGACATTATCGTAAGCAGAAGAAATGTCAAGGAAAGCAGCAAGGACCGACTCATTTCTCGAAAATGCTAGTCTAATATCTGTGGTGAAGATAGAGAAAGTCTGTCATATGTGCTTTTACCTTTTCTGAATCCATATTGGGAATTTGATAACAATCCATGACTTTCTACATACCATTCAAGACGGTTCTTGATCATACGTTCAAAGGTTTTAATTAGAGTTGAGGATAGAGCGATCGGTCTATAAGAAGAGCCGTCGTTAGGATTTTTGTCAGGTTTCAAGATAGGAATAATTACTTGAGTCCGCCAACAGTCAGGAACAAAGCCTATGTCAAACAAAACGTTAATGATATTTAAATAGTAGGATAAAATTTGATCATTACATTTGGCAAGTAGTGAATATGGAATACCGTCTAAACCAGGAGCTGAATCTTGAACGTGAGAAAGGACGAGCTTTAATTCATATAAAGAAAATGGACGTTCTAAGGGATCAAAAAAAGAATCACATGGAATACTTTGAGGTAGCTCCTCTCTCAAAGGAGCAAAAGAGGGGGGGGGGGCAAGTTTATCTAGAAAAGTGTTTATAGATTGAGAGGGAATGGCACCACTGTAAGAACAAGATGAAAAACAACAGCGAAATTTTCTAATATTACGCCAAACAACTGATGAAGGTATTGAAGGAGAAATTGAGGAACAAAAGGCATGCCAACGTGTTTGTTTTTTGTGCGAAGAGTATTTTTAGTCACTTCTTGTACACGTTGAAGGTATGAATAGTTTTCCGAACTCATGTCTAATTTATATTGTTTTTCGGCTTTTTTCCTATTACGAATGGCCTCAGTACATTCAGAATCCCACCATGGAGGGGAGGGCCTACATTTTTATTATTTAGAGTTTTAACAGGAATCTTTTGATCTGCTGCATTTATAACTGCGTTTGTAAATACTTCAACAATAGAAGTTATATTATTTTCAGAAATAGGAGCGATTTTTAGAATTTCATTGTAAAGAAAAATATTGTACAGGTTCCAGTCTGCTCTGTCTAATTTGTATTTAATACATGGTTTTTTGTTAATTTCTGCCAATTCTTTGTTTGGAAAGGAAATCAGAATGGGAAAATGGTCACTGCCGTGAGAGCTATCTAGAGCTGACCAATTTAGAAGAGTGGTTAAATCAGGAGTACAAATTGATAAATCTACAGCACTTCTAGACTCATTAGGACGAGAGCGTTTGGTAATTTTACCAGTATTAAGGACACCAATATTAAGTTCGTCAATTATTTCAACTAATAAACTACCGTATTTATCAGTATTATCCCCCCATAAATAATGATGACAATTAAAGTCACCAAGAATTATAAATGGTTTGGGTAGTAAGGAGGCTATTAAAGATTTTATTCTGCGAAACGTATGGACAGAAGGGGAGGGAACATAAATAGAAACGAAAGTTATATTTTTAATTTTTACTGCTACAATATTAAAGTCAAATATTTCATCATAAACATCTATAATGGAATAAGTTATATTATTTTTTACAAGCAAAGCACATCCGGCATAGATTATTTCAGTACGTTTATCTAAAATGCTTCTACAATTCCATTGAAGGATTTCTTGAGATTCTTTGAGAGAGTGAATGTCTTGAAGAATTTTAGGTATAGAATTTAGTAAGCGAGCAACGTGGGACGGTAGCTTCGAAGAATACGAAGATATGATTATGTTAATAAGGAAACTTATAATGCTTTCTACAGAATCAAAATTACCCTGTGAAGTAACTGGTGAAACCCGAAGAGCACAACCATCCTCAGGTTGCGGAATTGAAAAAATCTTCAATAATTTTTTGATGACTTTTTTTGTCGTATCCTGTTTGTGAATGGTGACGTAATGGTTTAGGAATATATAATGATTTCTTATAAGAAGTTTTATTAGATGTAGCGGGGTTGGAAGGAAAATTATTCACTGAAGGATTAGTAGAAAGCAAAGAATTTTCAGGGAATTTAGAAATCAAAACATCAGCGTATGATTTTGAAGAAACTTGTGGATATTTTTGAGATGCTTCTAGGTATGAGATAGACTTTTGTGCCATTTCAATTTTAATATTATTTTGTCCTGTGTGTTCAGGACATCTAGAATCTGTGGCTTTGTGGTTACCTGAGCAAAATAAGCAACGAAAAGATCCATTATCTTTGTCGCAAGAAGAAGAGGAGTGATCACCTCCACATTTTGAGCATCTTGGCTTGGAACGACATAAATCTTTAGTATGTCCAAATCTGCAGGACTGAAAGCATTGGATCGTTGGAAGCTTATAAATTTCAACAGGAATGGAAGAATAGCATAAATAAACCCTCGAGGGAAGAATTTGACCGTCAAATGTGATTACGACACTTTCAGAGCTTTCATATCTGACTTTGTCCTCGTTGCGAACTCGGTAATTTAATCTTCTTACTTTTAATACAAGAATGGT